TCTGATTCTGAATGAAAATGAAAGAGCTTGAAGAATTGATCAACAATTTAGTACATTTTACCGTCAAATTTAATCTAACCTGGTGATTTCTGGACCTAAGAACAAACCTTTACCCATCAGGATCTGGACCCTGTAACCAAACTTGATCCCTGATAGGATCTGGACCTCAAAACCAAGATATATTCCGGATCCTGTAACCAAACTTGATTCCTGATAGGATCTGGACCTCAAAACCAGATAACTTCTGGACCCTGTAACCAAACTTGATCCCTGATAGGATCTGGACCTCAAAACCAGATAACTTCTGGACCCTGTAACCAAACTTGATCCCTGATAGGATCTGGACCTCAAAACCAGATAACTTCTGGACCCTGTAACCAAACTTGATCCCTGATAGGATCTGGACCTCAAAACCAGATAACTTCCGGATCCTGTAACCAAACTTGATTCCTGATAGGATCTGGACCTCAAAACCAGATAACTTCTGGACCCTGAAACCAAACTTGATCCCTGATAGGATCTGGACCTCAAAACCAGATAACTTCTGGACCCTGAAACCAAACTTGACCCCTGATAGGATCTGGACCCTGTAACCAAACTTGATCCCTGATAGGATCTGGACCCTGTAACCAAACTTGATCCCTGATAGGATCTGGACCCTGTAACCAAACTTGATCCCTGATAGGATCTGGACCCTGTAACCAAACTTAATCCCTGATAGGATCTGGACCTCAAAACCAGATAACTTCTGGACCCTGTAACCAAACTTGATCCCTGATAGGATCTGGACCCTGTAACCAAACTTGATCCCTGAAAGGATCTGGACCTCAAAACCAGATAACTTCTGGACCCTGAAACCAAACTTGATCCCTGATAGGATCTGGACCCTGTAACCAAACTTGATCCCTGATAGGATCTGGACCCTGAAACCAAACTTGATCCCTGATAGGATCTGGACCCTGTAACCAAACTTGATCCCTGATAGGATCTGGACCCTGTAACCAAACTTGATCCCTGATAGGATCTGGACCTTGAAACCAAACTTGATCCCTGATAGGATCTGGACCCTGTAACCAAACTTGATCCCTGATAAGATCTGGACCCTGTAACCAAACTTGATCCCTGATAGGATCTGGACCCTGTAACCAAACTTGATCCCTGATAGGATCTGGACCCTGTAACCAAACTTGATCCCTGATAAGATCTGGACCCTGTAACCAAACTTGATCCCTGATAAGATCTGGACCCTGTAACCAAACTTGATCCCTGATAGGATCTGGACCCTGTAACCAAACTTGATCCCTGATAGGATCTGGACCCTGTAACCAAACTTGATCCCTGATAGGATCTGGACCCTGAAACCAAACTTGATCCCTGATAGGATCTGGACCCTGTAACCAAACTTGATCCCTGATAGGATCTGGACCCTGAAACCAAACTTGATCCCTGATAGGATCTGAACCTCAAAATCAAACATTAACCCTAACAGAAAAAGGATTAAGAAACCTATTACATAATGTATAACCTTATCCTTGATAAAATCAGGACCCATAAACTAAACCTTATCCCTGATAAGATCTCAACCAGGAAAACCAACTTTAACCATGATAGGATCTGAACCAAGAAACCAAACCTAACCATGGAAGGCTTGAAGCCCGCCCCCTTTCACCCTTCAACATGATTTCATGCTTTTGAAATTGAAGGTTTGCATTAGATAGGACACATACTAAGTCTTTTTTTTAAAAGAAATTCTTGTTGTTTCTTAATCTGTAACACAGTTTTGTGTTTCTAGTAACTTCCAATGAGTTATACACAAATTACAGGGTACTACATGGAAAGGTCTAAATTATACTTCTAAATGTTTCCAGAGTGCCTTTCATTCATGCACCAAATCATGGGACATGTAGCACATCGTGGCTAAAAGAAGCCACATTCAATTGAGTTGATTTGAAAATTTCCTGAAGATTCATAGTATGTGCATGCTGTCTTGATCCTTCGATCCATCTAGTAATTACTTCCTGGATGTAATACTAGGGTCAAATGAAAGAGAATAGGAAGATATCTACACATACACAGCATCTATACATCTCCTTGGGATTTAACTGGGCTTATTATTGGGAAGCTACGTAATGTAACTTCCTGTCTTCAGGATATTTGTAAACACTGAATAGTTGCTTGTATCAACAATCTTCTTTTTTTTCCTACAGAAATTTGGAGTTCATAAGTCACTCCCTCACTCTGTAGACATCTAAACCTTTATCTAGGAAATTAAAGATGGCTGACCTGATGCAGATGGTGTCATGTGGTAACACTGAACCTCAACAGTATGATATACACATTGCCTATTGGCACCCTAAACACAACTTGATCCAGATAACATGTATCTAATTATATATATATAATGTACCTATACATAAACTATACACTACGAAAACTGAAACAGATAAGACACATTTATTGTGTGAAATATCAAATTTTTTACTTTTTTTGCCAGAAGATTACAATAACCAAGTCTATAACTTGTGTATTAGGCAAAGAAAACAATGTATATTTATATCATAAGGCTCCAGCTTGCAAATCTACCTCTGAGGTGGAAGATAAGAAAACAAAGCCTAAGATAAAAACAGAAGCATTATGTTCAGCTATATTAGGTTAAACTACAATTTAAGAAATGTCAGGAGTTTTCCAGGGACTAATATACTTCACATGAAACGAACAGTAGCACTGAAGGTACCATAGAGATACACATGAAAGAACAGTAGCACTGAAGGTTCCATAGAGACACACGTGAAAGAACAGAAAGTTCAAGGTTTAAATGCAGGCCAAATAAGAATATATTTAGAGAATTACATGTATTATTGGTAATGGGGTTAGTGGAACAAGTGACATCCTACAGGCCAGTGTATATAAATCAACCTGAGAATAAGGTTACAGCTAGATTACACTTATTCTTCATAAGCATACAAATTGTATAAAAAGCATTATCACTACCAAACCTTTTCTCCCTTAAGTTTAAATACTTATTATCGAGTAGCAGTTGCTAAAAGTATGCACAATCAATTATATATGATTTTAAGTTCTTTTTCTATTTTGAAATGTATTGCTATCCCCCCTCTACACACATCCCCAGGGTTAGATTACGAGCCGAATATAGCTGAATCCTAATTCATATTCTGTATGTAATGTGTATTAATATTTCTAAAATATAACTTTAACATAATCTTGATATATGGACTACTTAACCATTTTATTGACAAATTTGACAATCAATACATCTTTGGATTAAATGTCAAGATTGAAGGATGATACAAGTCTATGGGCTGCTTTGAAAGAATGGACAACCGGTTTTACAAAGTATGTCAGATTTTGACACCACAGCTAGGTTTTTAAATTTTGGTTTACAATTTCATTCACTCTATTTGACAACTGGTAATTACAAGGTTTAAAGTCACAGCTTTAAAGTGAAATATTCCCACACACTGGGGTTAACCGGTCCAACAATAAAAAAAAAATCAATCTTTGGTTATATGATGAAAATCATGGATTCAACAAAATTATGAAGATATCCAAATAGGGAATAAAATCATTCTTACTTTTTAAACAATTTAGAATTATTGTCTGGTAGTGATAAAATGTACTGATCTCACTTACATAGATGTCTTTAATGAAGGATTAACATTCAACCTAGCCACCTCATCAAAATGTGAACATTTCACTCGGACATAAAATTTGTATCCAAAGAATGCATTCTCAAAAGAGATGTAATATTCATACTATTGCCAAAGTATATATATCATTTCTTTTCTTTTCATTTGAATGAATCAGATTAAAAAAAGAAAAAAACGGTATATGTAAGTGTGAAGCATAAATTTACAAGAAAATCATATTTTTTCTCTAATCATTTCAAATGCCAATCACAACTGGATTAGCAGCAAAGGTATCTTCATAACTTAAAACATCTATTTGTCCAATACAATTGTCGTCACACTAATTATAATGCAATCTTCAGTTCTGCTTTCTTTATAATGTACTGTACCATTATTTTACATGTACATGCTAACCACTGCATCTCAGTTTCCAGTGTTGGTAACATTCACAACCAAGCTGTAGCTATTTATCAATCAATGTCAACAACACTTCACAACTAGGAATTTCTGGATTTTTAAATGAGAAATTAACAGAACTCATTCACTCATTCATAACCAATATCTCTGACCTCGATTAGAAATCCCTGAATTCCATTTGAGACATGATATCTACTTACAAAATCATTTAGTAAATTAGATACAGGAAACCAGTTACCTATTTTGATGAGGTTTTAACTAAATGTGTACATCTGTTCTTGCTGTTTGCATATCAAATTATCTTTGTACTGCTGTACATATCCTGTAGACCTACGGTAACTGGCATGTAGCTTAGTGAGCTTACACTATAAGCATATATAAATGTATGCAAAACGTTCTGATCTTTATCTTTCTAACTTTACATATAAAAAAGTTAATCTCTTATTTCTTTTAAAATTAACGTAGATGTGACCACTTTAAAATCATTTTTTACAGCTTAAAATCGTTGTTATTTCACCTAATCTGCAGTATGATGTGAAACGAATTTTAACACAAAACTAACCATAATCTTGAGCATATTGGAGATATGTGTATAAGTTATATTTACTATCTCTTTTCAAATTCGACACAAGACATTGAAGTCCATGAAACGCACGACGCAACAATATTGAACAGTGTCAAATATAAACAATGTCATACGACAAGAAAATGCCACACAGACCGTTTTTGGCATTCCTGAATTCTAGAGACATTGCGATCCCACACACACGAGGGCTAACATCTCACCAGGCTTGCTAATGCGGCGATCGATATGAAATCGCAGTGCGAACTTGTCACCTATCTCTTGAGTTCAACACGAATCGTTAAAAATACATCAGTGACCTATTTCTAACTGTGTTTCTTTAAATGTTTCAACTGAAATGTATAAATACTTACATGTCTGGGTCTTTTTTGTTTGAGATTCACTCAAAAGAAGCGTAAATATCCATAAGAAACACCAAGACTGAGAGACCCAGTCCGGGCCATGCGCCATGTTGAGTTACCACTAACACAAAATCACTTCCGGACGAGAGCGCCATCTGTAAACAAAAGAACGTGCAAGGCAGGTGCGAGATGTCACTTCAGGGGCCCAATGTGGGGTAATTTATTATTTACATATTTAATTCAAAAATACAAATAACAAATCATAGTCATTTTATATCATGTTCTGTTTACTCAAATACCATTTTCATTATCTTTTATATCAGATTAAAGGAAAACAACATTTTCTTGTAAATATTTTACCAATAATAAACGGCAAATGTGTAGATATATATGAAAGATAACATCCAATCTAATTATGTATTATAAGATTAAAAAGACCGACCCATGGCGGCACCCGCTATCTCCCTCACTACAACTTTGTATACAACGTCTGGTGTGGATGTGTCGGGAGTCAGAAACCTTCTGAAATACTTGGAATCTACATACAGATTCATTAACGCAGACAGAGGTACTTTTTCGGTTTTCTCTATCTCTTGGTCCTTTACCATTTACAAAAAGAACATTTTGTCGATTGATCGATAAAAGTCATATGAAGTGATGTATCCGACCAGAAATGTGTTTTATATGTCTCTGACCGACCAATACTACATACAAAGCTGAAGCATGCTAGTAATATTTTGCGAGTGAGTTATGAGGTGATAATACCCCGTGGATGTATTTATCACTGAAAGTATACGATTGTGTTAGCTTGAATGAAATGAATATCTTCCCAACCGAAAAATGTATTGTTTATTAATAAAATGGTTAATCATTGAATTATACATAGTAAAATTAACATCAAGTCTTAAAGAAATATTTCTGTTTGACTAGAATTTAAAACAGACGCAAGGCTGCTAAAACCAAGCCTCCTTCTAAACTCCTGTTTTTAAATATCATCGTGAAGTATAACATGATATTTGGACTTTAATCTTAGCACCATCGTCATCTCAGATTAAATGATGTCGAAGTCCGTGATCTATCTGTTCATTTGTATGTCACATGATTAAATCCACGTGAAATGCCGAAGGTAGCCTAGTGTATCGTTATCAATATCGATTTGAAGATGAAGGTACTATTCATAAGCCTTCTTTGGTCTTTATGATAGTATACGACTAGTCATGATAGAAGGAAATAATGGAGTTTCAAGCCGTGACGAGTCGCTATCTGAAAGTACGGCGTATGGGGTACAACTCGTATTGGCTAAACGGCCTTGCCATATACAGGTACACGTGCTGGTAGAAACTTCCTAGATTGTCTATCCATTCATTTACGCAGTCATTTTTTTTATTTATGTTTCAATATCAATTAATATTTCACGTGTGTATCAGCATATGAGATAATTAACAGAATGTATTATAGACAATGAGAATGAACGTTGTAATATTTTTCTTTAAAGTAAAATCAACGACTGGAGGTTATATATATATATTGTTTAACTATTGCTATAGTTAAAACAATATTTCAACATTGAAATAGTAATGAAATTCGTGAATTTTCAAGAGGATTTGGTAACAAGCGTAAAGCTTAAGTTAAATTATTTTCCTTTCATAGACCCCATATTTAAAAACGATCTGCGTTGCTCATCTGGTATTCGATGCTTTTCAAAGACAAAAAGACTATCTAAATCCAACGAATTCAAAGCCAATCTACAAAATGTAGTAAGCTGATACAATTTAACACTACTCACACTAAACACTAATCACTTTACCGAAGTGACTTTTATTGAGGTCAAGGTGATGTTAACAATTTATGTAACTCCATCCCAGGAGAGTGCCAGCTAAGTATCATGATTGCTATTTCGGTATATCAGACAAAAAGTTTATACATTTTCACAAGTTTACTCCTGTAACTTCGATTATCGGTCAAAGCAATTCCATTTCAAAACTTTGTGAGATTTTCATTTTTTTTTCTTTTGGAAAGTCGTTTGAATGGTCTTACCAAGTTTTATCACTGTGACATTGGATATAATTTAAGGTCTTTTCTTTACACAATTCTGAAGGGCTTCATTCCAAACATCATCTTATTAGGCGTCTCGGTTCCTCAAATGTGTTATTTCAGACAGTATAAATAAGTTTGACACTTTTCACATTGAATATGGAGCAAGGTTATTTCGTTTCGCAGAACTACTGCGCCGATTGTCACGTCTTTTTCTGATTATCTGAAGTTCTTTGAATATTTAAACAGAATTGATCTGTATGACATTGAGAATAGGTAAAGATAATTTTGATCCTCACACTTAGTGGAGATTCATTCCAAGAATCTAACAGCTAAATATTATGATATCAGACCTTTCGATTAATAGAAATAAATTGTTTTGAGAGTTCTAACAAATTTACTCTTTTGACATTGAATATCAGCCTACATTGGTTCGTTTAAAAAATGGTAGTTCTTTATCCCAGAAACCTAAGTAAACATCCTGTCAAAAAGGTCGTTTAAGGACGACCTTCCGATGTAAACGAGGTGAGTACATGTGTTGAATGTTTGTGTTTTGGGAGACTGACGTGTAAGCTGTACTTCTGATATTGTGGAACTAACGCCAGATTTATAGTGTTCCCACAATAAAACAAACTGCTGAAGGCTTTAAGTCACATCACACTAAGCAAACTAATTGTTACTCTACCAAAATGCTGAACGATTTTATAAGACTCCAATTCCTTCGTGACAGGGGCGAATACTCTAGTAAAAGATAAACGTGAGCCAGTGTCAAGGGAGACAATAGGGAGAAGAAAGATCTTTAGAAAGGATAGAAAATATAAAGATCCCAAGTTTAATTTATACAATCATGCAATAGAAACAGCAGGTCCAATTTACGCCCTACCTGCACAACAGATAAACATCAAGGTACATGTATTTAGTTAAATAGTAAGTCAATCATCACGATTTTACCCCTATTAGTATATCAGAAGACGTTATTTGAGTATTAAATCATTTGACCTCTATGACCTGGAGAACAGGTCAGATTAATTTCTATCAGCAATATTTGTCGGAATTTATCCCAAGAATCTAAAAAATTGTATCTTGATACTTCCAACTAAATTTGTTTAGGGTCCGCGCAGTTGTTTATGATTAGTAACGAAAATCAAAAATTAAAAGTTGACGAACGACGGACGATGCGCCTTCCTTTAAGATTACTTGTCCATTGATCCGTCAGCCCAGTTGAAGTACATTGAAGGATAGGCAAAAGGCTCAGAAAAGCGCTATATGTAAGAAGGGAGACAAATCTGGAAATTCAGTCATTCTCACATTCAACATATGTAAGATTAAAGGTAATAATTGTTTTGAGTTTAAACATATTTTATTTGACCAAAAATCAAATGGAATTGGACACAAGTTAAACAACTTAGGAACGTCCTCTTCCATAAACAATTATACAAGTTTACATACATATATGGCAGCATTTCATCAAACATTGAATCATTGATTTATACATAAAACAAACATTACTGTATACTGATGGAAAAATTCCCAATATCAGCAGTTTTATAATATTACTAGTACGATACATATTATTAACACCATATACACACTTTGTATAACTTTATGCGAATCTATTTGTATTTTTGATAAATTCCTGAACAATCAGTCGAATATGGTCATTTTCGGCTTGGTTCAGATGAACAGAACCGTTCAACAGGACATCTAGATCAACGATTATGTCATATATAGATAAGTTTCTAACAAGTATATCATGGGAGAGGTTGTACATGTTACATTGAAAGAAATAATGAACATGATTTTCTAAAGGGTAGGTACAGTTGCATGCTGGAGATAATACTAAATTACATCTGAAAAGATCTGCATTCAAAGCACTACAACCGTGACGAATTCCAGCATGTATCACATCTAATTTTCTGTTACATACAGTCAGATTAGTCACAGGTTTGATTTGTCTTGAAGTATGACGTTTAAATTTGAACACTAGTTCTAGTTGATATATCTAAAGAGTTCCACATTCTTAGGGTACTCGGGATAAAAGACCTTTCATACATAACTTGTCTTCATTTTGGTAATACATAATCTTGACCAGTTCTTAAATTATATCTACTAGTATTATTTACTCTATTAGGCAATAGTTCCTTTAGATAATATGGAACTAAGTCATGGTTCATTTTGTACAGTAATAATAGTTTTTATTTGTTTACGTCTGTCTTCAAGTTTTTCCCAACCGGTCTCATTATATAAAGACTGTACACTTGCAAATAAAGGCAAGCCTGTGATTATTCTGGCTGTTTCAAGTTGAAATTTTTCTAGCTTATCAATGTCAGCAATGTTACAGCCATCCCAAACCTCGCTCGTATATTCATAGATAGGTCTGATGAATACAATGTATAATTCAGATAAGATTTCTTTATTTACTGTAAAGTTCAATTTCCGTAAAACTGACACGTGTTTAGAAGATGATTTGATAATATTGGAGATATGTGCTTCCCACTTGGAATTTTCATTTTAAGCTTCTCCTAGATGTTTATGTGTAGCACTTTTAGTCAAAATTGTGTTATTAAAAGTCATCTGAACATCAAGTCTTTCTAAAGAACCAGTAAAAATAACAACGTCCATTTTAATAGGATTGAAACTCACATTCCACTTCTTTGATCATTGGACAATCACTGCTAAATCATGATTCATATAATATTCTATTTCTGCACTATGTTTTGAAGAATATGCGAGCGAGGTGTCGTCAGCAAACATTCTTGACATTGAAAATAAAATTTTACAAATACCATTTATATACAACAAAAAGAGAAATGGACCTAAAACAGAGCCTTGAGGTACACCAGCATTCATGTAACCTGTGTGCGATAAAGCTTCACCCAAGTATACAATTTGATTTCTATCACTTAAGTAATCTCTCAACCATTTATAAATATTGCCTTTAAAACCATATGCTTTCACCCTTTTCATTAGACGATCATGTCAAACTCTTTCAAATGCTTTTGATATATCGTAAAATACCATACATGTTTGGAGCTTGTTTTCTAACGATAGACAGATATTATGGCAAGTTTCTCG